TGATTGCTTCATCACTTTTTTTCTGCAAAAGAAATTTTTTTTCAAAAATATTACAGAAGAGTATAAAAATGTACAAGTTCATAATGCTTTTCTCACATACAGAAATCACTCCCCACCCCCATCCCCACCAACATTTGACACCAAGGCGGACTGAAGTAGTGAGTGTGTATAATACAGAAGTGAAATCAGGAACAACCATGTTTCTCCTCCCAAAGACATAATCGAAAACAAACTCATAAATGAACTTTTTTTTTAAAAAAAAATGCAAGACATTCTCTATTTGAACAGGAACAAGGGGGAAAATTATATACCCATATTTCAAGCCACAATTATAAAAGTCTCAACGTAAAAGATACAACCTTGAACATCAGAGGTTAATAATGTATGCTGGTAAGGAGCAAAGAGAGTGTAAATGATATTGATAAGGACCTGATCCGATGTCTGAGTGCAGACCCAGAGCCGGTTGGGAAAATATATTTGGAAATTCACTGTTCTTCTTTCCAAATTAATTGCAAGCTTACAGTCAAAAAGCTCAGAGCTTACAGATAGACTGTTTAGGAAGTGGACTGACTGATTTCAGATTCTCTTTCCCCATCAAAAATCTGATTGCTGGGCTTCCAACTTGTGTTTTTTGGGGGAGGAGGAAAATGCTTTTGTTGAAACAGGGACCATGTTGGCTGAATGATTTTGGCAGCAGGAGCCTCTAAAGGCATATTTCTGTGCTCTCATCCTGTCGAGAGACTTAGTGCCGTTCTTAGCACCACACTAATTCTACTGGAACAGGAAGAATACAGGTATTTTCCTACTCTCATCTGCAAGTACTCATTTTGCTGAGTAGTGGAAGGATTTTATGGGATAGAGGTAACACTTTAAAACCACTGCGTGTATGATTCTGCACTTTCATTCAAGGAAAAAAGAGAAAACAACTAAAATTGACACCTTCTTCCCACATGATTTGCTGTCAAGAGCAAGAACGAAAGAGATGAGGGAGGTGAGTAACAGGAGCTTGAACCAAGGTAAGAAAACGTTTACACAGATGTTGGCAGGGAAGATTGCGTAAAATATTTGCAAAACCTGACTTTGGGGGGGGGGAAACCACCATTAAAACTATAGATTAATTAATAGGAAAATAAAATGGGTGTCATTAGCTAGAATATTTGATTCTCTATAGTACAAAGCAAAAAGATGATCAGAGGTTGGCACAAGGTTATCACCACAACCAAGTATTAAGTTATGTTACACATTCATATAAACAATAAAGTTCTTTAAATTAGATCACAGTGCTGCATTTATGTGCATAACAGTGTTTTACATATTATAGGGAAAATTAACACTCATAGACCCTTATTTAACCAAGAGGGTGAATTATTTGAGGGGTGGAAGAATATTTTTAAAAAGTAACAAATCTGGAAACAGAAATCTTGCAACCAAGTAGATGGTTTTCCAGTGAACCTTTACACGGGAAAACCATATTTCTTAACTTCAAGACTGTGATGTGACTTGTAACATCACAACCTACTTAGTGTACCATTTGTTCTAGCAGAAGGGCTTCAACTTAGTGCAATAAATTATTTGCCCCCCTTTCTGTTTTCCATTTCAAAGGCAGGTGGCCTGAATGAGGAAGAAAACAACTACTGGCAAGTCTAAACAGCTTTATTTAAGATTCACATAGCTCAATTTTCTTCCCATTCTTACATTAAAATCTGTATGGTTTAAGCCCTCTTCCATTTTTCCAGAAAATGGAGTAACTCTTAAGTGGATGTCTTCATATCAGCTGAAATCCAGAAATTTCAATAGGCACACCTCTTTGGGAATGCATATGGAAATATGCATATAAATACTCCCCTCACTGTTTTCAAAATGAGGCGGTGCACAGACAATAACTACTGCAAAGTATGAAAAGGAAGCAACAGTTTAGTGCAGGGTAAGTCTATAACTGGACCCAGCTACTTTCATTTCAGTTTGGCAGTAACTTAGGATGTTTTGGATAATCATATGTCCAAATAATTTCAACTAAAAATTAGGTGCTTAATTGATTAGGTACTTAAGTGAGACATCCAGAAAACCCTTAATCTTACTTTGTAAAAATATCAGCCGTCTCTCTCCTCATCTCCTCTATGTTGGGACAGAGACAGGGAAGCTAATGTTTCAGCAAGCAAACCAGTGATGTTAGGGGACATGGCCTCACCTCAATCCTATCATCCATTTGATAGGGATGTTTGGGGCTAGGACTAAAAGTTTCTGCTCTGCTGTCTGAATCAGCTCCCCACCCTGGATGTAAATACCAAACAATGAAAATTGAAATGTTTACCTCAGCACTGTAGATAAGTTACAACTGGGCACAGTTCTACTTTTGGAATGATAATTCCTGCTACGAATCCCAAGACTGGACAAATATGGTATGTGAAGAATACCTTGGATTCAAATATTATATATGATTTTATTCACCCTGGATTCAAATATTATATTTGAATCCAGGGTGAATAAAAATCAAGGACTTTAAAAAAATTGATTTAAATCATGGTTTAAATTTTAATTTTTTAAAAAAAATTAAGTCATCAAAAATCATGATTTAAATTGTGATTTAAATCAAACTTTAAAAAAAATCATTGATTTTTATTCACCCTGGGCACAAATACAGTATTCAAATCCAAGGTATTGTTATCAAACCATATTTGTACATATAACTAGTTTTGGGATTCACTGATTTAAATCAAATCCATCCTGTCTGTGTCATCTGCAAAAACCTGAATTGCCAAGGCCTTTGAATCCTCCATTTGGTCATAGAAACAGTAGTGGAAGCTATCACATGATGTAATTTGAATCCGGCTGTGTTTTTTTTAAATGTGTTGAGCCAGTTTCAAAAAAGTATGGTCTAACTGGATTTGTGGGAGACATTCATCAAAAAAAGATGATATATGGTAACAGTCACTCAAACAAAACAGGAACAACAGAAGCTAAGGAACAGCTAAGGAAGTTACTCTGAGTGACACCTGCATTATACACAAAGAGCTAAATCTAACAATTCCAATTAGAGCATGATGGGGTCTTGGTCTCTTAGCATTAAGCACCAATGGCTGAGATCCAGTAGTATGTCAAACAGAGCAGACTCATTGAATTAATGGAACTTATGGAAGACTCACCAAATTCCCACTGATTCAATGGGTCTACTCTATTTGAAGCTTACTGCTGAATTTCAGCCACTGACTCAATAGGCAACTCTATTGCGTATATTTATGCTGGTGGAAGCTGATGACATCATTAGCTGGCATCAATAAAATTTAATTTAAATTAACCCAGAGGTTCCTGTTCTCCTTTTAGGTTCTAAGGCTCCCTAGGGCTCCCTTTTGTCCCCTGGAGGCCTATGAGAGCCTCAGGATAAGGTGGATGGGAAGCCTATAATCACCAATTTTTTTCTCTCTCGCAAGAACAATTTTTTTTTTGTTCTTGCGAGAGGGACCTCTGCTATTTATCTGGCATTGACTTTTGGTAATTAAATACTCCCCCTTACCCCCAGTCCTGAGGCTTCCAAAGACTTCCACAGGGCAAAAGGAAGATCATCAGCTTCCACCAGTATAAATTTGCACCAACAGGAGTTTGGCTGATGAGTCTACTCTAAGCTGGGACCAATTGGACACAGTCCAAAAACATGCTCTGGTGAAAAGACTGTGAGACAGACTGGGAGGGCACATAAATGATATGAAATATACTCAAGGCATGAAATAAGAAGTTTCTCTTACACTATCTTAATTAAACTGACAGGAAATTCCTCTCTTGAAGAAGTTTAATTGAAAGCAGCAGAAGTGATGAAAGAGTTCCACAATTCCAGTTCATTTTATTGGGCCTTATTCAGAAGGCTGCACTAAGGAGTCAATCTCCATTGTGCACATATATGTATAGCAGATGAAATGAAGCCTGGATTTGTAACTCAACTTGAAATGTACCTGTTGGGTATCAGTGGTGTAAAGGGTATATTTACTGAAGGGTAGATACAGTACAGGTAGCCAAGATACAGCACTGTGTCCTGAATCCAGAGTCCTAACGTTAAAACAGAGTCTCTACATTAACAGTTGTGTCCCAATACATAGCTAGCATTATAGCCAAATCTAGGATTCAGCCTCTCTGGACTACAATCAGTTAACAATTCTGAAAAGATTCTGGGTCAAAATATAGACTTTTACAATGCAGTAAACTCTGCATAAATCATAATATTTACTGAGTGTAAAAAAATGTGTTGAGTAATTACACTTGGAGTTCAGAATCCTTCCAGTTCTCAACATTGTAAGGCTCATTATTCATCCACTTGAAGAGGCAACCACATCGTTTTATGTTAAACAGAATGGCAATCTGAAGAAGGATGTATATGGCACTCTTGTAGAGAGCGAAAACTCTCTGTTTTGTAGAGAGTTTAAGTTTATGAAACGTTTTTGTTGCTTCTTTAAATAAGTATTATCTTCACGGGGGCGGGGGAACAGTGAGGCAAACACTGATTTTTTTCCTATGCATGTCAACATGGAAAATGTCTGGATATACTGGTTGATGTTGCTGATTGACTTATGTAAACCCAAACTTGTGGGTTAACATGAGCTTCCAATTCACACTGCATATGCTTCTTGACATATAATTTCAAAGTCTGCTAAACAGCATTCTCTCTCTCTCTCTCTCTCTCTCTTCCTTGCCCAAGTTCATGTCATCCTCAAACTAAATCCAAATTCCCAAAAGAACATCACACACAACTATCCACACTTCCACTGAATATAAAAACTCTATGGGATCCAAAGAACCTCTTACATACACCACATGCTTTTCTTGGATGCCTTCCTTACAGACCACCACCTGTCATGTTGAGTCCGTTCAGCTCAGGATGCATGAAGGGTGCCAGTGGGGATGGGTGTCCCCAAGACATCTGGCTAATATGTAAGCCAATGAGCTTGGAGGTTATCTCACATTTATGGCCTTCAATACCAATGTTTTTGAACAAAATAAAGTGAAACAAAATCCAGCCTTATTGCAAAGCTTTTAATCCATTTATGTTGCCATACACTGCAAAACAGGTACGGTCACAAGCGAATTACCTCTTTACCAAACAATCTGTAATCACTTGATGAACACAAATAGAAGCCCTTTCGTCATTTGTTCCCTCAAGGCAGATGAGCAAATTTGTGTGGTTACCATTTCCACCCCCCACCCCCAAAACTAAGTGGCAGCTTTTCATTCAATGTCTCCATATGGAGTCTTTTAATCATACACACTCACTACTTGCCTTGCCCTCAAAATTATTGCGTATTGTTAATACATGTAAAGACAAAGAAAGGACAAAGTGTTCAAAAAACAGAGAAGTAGGGGAGGGGGCTGAATGTGCAGACAAGGCAATAAAATTCAACCATCCAAGCCCTACCCGAGCATGAAGTTTTATTTTTAATATTGCAGAGTAAGTTCCCCAACAGTCAGTATTTGTCCCTGAAAAAGGTTAAACCTTAAAAACACCTGCTTCCAAAAAAAAGGAAAAAAAAGGAGGGGAAAAAAAATCCAAAACAAAAACAAAAACCCCAGAAACAAACTAAGCCTAAGGGCTTAAAAATTAGAGGCATAGCCTTTTCTCTATTTTTCTATATTTATATGAAAATAACTCATGCTTCATGCTAAATACATTATTTACCTTACAAGAACTTTTGTTAGCTTTGAATTTTTTAAAAAAAGGGGTTTTGTTTCGTACTCCCGAGCCCCTCCCAGAAAGGAATCCATGCAATGTGGATCAGAATTTTCTGCTGGCTACAGTGGTTACAACTGGAAATATACTGTAATTTTTTTGTACAAATGAATCACCATTAACTGGATACACTGTTTTCAGGAGCACTGTTAGGAGCTGTATGAAATATTGTCTTTTATTTTGCCCAACCAACATGGATTCTTCTTTTGAAAAAAAAAAAGGACTATAATACTAATGGCAGGTTTTGTAGCATGTTTCTTCCCTAGCGAGATCAAATCTTTGTGACCTATAGAAAGGTTTCATCATTTTGACTCTTCTTAAATATCTACTCATAATTTTCTTTAGACTTGATTGCTTTTCACTCAGGCAGTTAAAAACTCATAGCTTGTTTTCCCATAATATTTTTGCAGGCAGTGCCAATCTTCAGGCTTATGGCTTTTTAAAAAAACATTCTTTTAATTTAAATACAGAAGACAATTAAAGGATATCACTAATCCCACCCCCATTCCCTCCACCCCTTTCTCCTTATTTCACTGAAACTCATTGCATACACAGTTCAGTTTTCTATAATTTAAAAATTATTAAGTCTTCACATTATAAGCCATGTACAGTACATGAAGCTCTAGGTGGTTCACTACTGTATGAGCAGCTGTCTTTAGTGGCTATTCCAAGATTTTTATGGCACAACTGCAAGCAAATGCCACCATATTTTCCTTGGTTTGGAGGACAACCTATGGACCTCTGACTTCCCCCAAATCTCTAGGCAATTTCACATAGAAACCCAATTGTAAGGCCTTAAAAAAACCCTAAGAGCCTTGCCTGAATGGTTACCAAATTATCAAATTTCTTCTAGGTATAAGATTTCCTAGTGCTGAATTTTATTCCTCTCGCGTGAACTGGTGATGGCATAAAGTTTTCCAGCTATGCAGTTCTGACAACGCTGGAGAAAGCAACAGCAATTTTGGCTTTTACTTTTTGTTCCTTTTTGTCTTCATGTAATGAAAAGCTTTTGTAAAATTAGTTGAGTATCAGTATGAGTTCTATGGCTTCAATCTCCTTTAAAAATAAAAAATTAAAAAAAGAATCTTAAGGGTCCCAAAAAGAAAAACACATCAAAACAATTTTTTAAAAAAAGAAAGAAAAAGAGAGAAAGAGGGTGTGGTGGAGGGGAAGAAAAGAGAAAACTGAACAAAGGAAGTATTTGTTGATATTGCCACTAATCATTAGAATTCACCTGACGTGCTGAAACAAAATTGTTTTGTAAGTTCAATCAATGGATTTGTTCTCGTTTTTTGTGGTGTCCTTTTGCTCCTTCTGCCCCTTTGCCGTCCGATTGGTGATGTTGTTCAAACAAGACCGAATTCCCGCCAAATGCAAGAGTGATCCAGCTGCTTCTTTCATTTCCTCATCATCACTCTCTGGGGGTTTCTCTGTACGTCTCTTTTTAAGAGGCAGTGTGTCACTCGGTACTTTTCTTGCCTTCAATAAATGCTGACGCTTCTTGTGCTGAGAGGCATATCCACTATCAGCTAAAGAATCCTTGGTCTCTTTTCGGTTCTGCCTTTTGTCCTCCTCCTCTGCTTCGCTATGGCTCTCGTGGCTATGGACGCTGACCTCACTGCCCTCGCTACTGTCCCGGCTGCCTTTTGTAGCAAATTCGTAATGGTCATCAGCAGAGGAAGAGGAGATGGAGTCACTAGTGGGCGATGTACTCCTGTGGTTAGAAGATTTGGCACTGCTATAGTTGTGATCCTCCTTTGGGTCACCGCTAACCACGGGAGAGTCGCAGGACTGCTCACTGTCTGTCCGCATCCGACAGTTTGCTATTCCATTCCTAAAAAGGGGAGAAAAAAAGCAGCACACAATCAAACTCTCTTGGGAAAAGAAAACAGCAACCCACCTACATTGTTCTGTACAGAACTTTATAGATTCTCATGCATGTTTAAATTACATTCCTGCAGCTTGGAATTTGGCATCTGATCAGTGGAAACAGATTTTCAGTGTCCCTTCAGTGGCTAAAAGATTGGCTCTGTACAAATGGGTAGAGAAATGCTCAGCCCCTATCATTCAATGGACTGAGGACATTTGTAACCTTTCAATAGACGTCAATGGCACAGGGATATATGCATATATCTGGGCATATTGGCTATTTCATGATTGTATTTTCAGTTTATTATCTGCTTGTATATCATCTTCTATCTACCTTTTTTTTGTTTCTTTCAAGATACATGTTTTTTTCTCCCCTCTTTCATTCCTCTAATACCCTTGTGATTCAGGCAAAAAACAAACAAACAAACAAACAAACAAACAAACAAACAAACAAACAAACAAACAAACAAAAAGGCCATTGTGGCACCTTAAGGACTAACTGCTGTATTTTAATGTGGGCTTTCCTGTACAGGTGTCTGAAGACTTGTCTGCAAAAGCTTATATTAAGGTTAGTCTTTAATGTGCCACAATGTATTTGTCTTCTTTGTTTTATTTTTTAAAATTTGTTTTGTTCACAATGTATTTGTCTTCTTTATTTTATTTTTTAAATTTGTTTTGTTTTTGCCTGACATCCTAGCACAGACTAATACATCTACCTCTTCTAAAACTACATTTATGGTTCAGGTTAGGCTTCTGAGAGATTATGACCAACTGGGTCAAATTCACCTAGAGAGCTTGAAGGCCAAGTGGAAAGTTTAAATCTGGTCTCTGTGCTCATAGTCTGATATTCTAAGCACTACAAGCACTACAACCATGGCACTTAGTGAAGTCAACCGGAAGATGTGCAGAACTGCTACCAAACTGGGTTGTGGATCAAACCTGAGGAAATATTTTTAAACACCAATTGGGTCCCAAAAGGATGTGTCTCAAAAGGGAAGTCCTACTATTGATTATTCCATATTAAAGGGAAAATATAGATTACAAGTATGCAAATAGCAATTGTTACAGTCCCAAATTATTAACTGGAGATTTCAAAGAAATATACTAAGTGTTTTTGTATTAAACACATTTATTAAGGCAAAAATGTTTTCTCTTTAAAGGTACAGGTGAGTGAATCTGCTGTCCCAGATACATCATTTTCACGTCTCCCCCCCCTTTTTACATTAACCTGCAATATTTTTTCAAAATTGTTCTCAGAATGCACAATAACATTTCAGAAGGCATAGTTATATCTTTATCTTCTCTTTTTCTGTGTAATCTATATTTTGTTATTTTTCAGTAAGTAGTCCAGCTTCCAGAAACATGCAAAATCTGGCAGACAGCAGATTTCAACTTCTTGCATTATCCCAAGAAGTGTATATCAGGTTGTTTCATACAAAAACCCCCAAACTTCTGAAGCTTCTGTGTCTACAGGTGCGACACAAAGAACAAGGGGACATTCAGGCAAATAGATTTTTTCAGCTGCATAAAATACTAGCGTGGTGATTCATATCAACTCAAAAGGATTTTCCTAAAATGTGATATATAGATATATTCTTTGTTATGCCAGTTTAATAAAGCAAGGACCTTTGATTTATAAGTGCCCTTAATTCTGCCACACTTGATTCCCAGGGCTCAATGCATTACAGGAATAATCACCAAAGAGCTAAAAATGCAAGAAATTTCAATGGCACTTGAGAGGAGCCTCTCCAAGTCATACTATTTTATTACTGAGTAGTTTTAAGACAATCAGAATGGAGGCACTCAGGCAGAAGACAGACCAGTTACATTACTCTTGTGTCTAGTATTCATCAGCCTTCCTAGCTAGGATGGCAATATTCAGGCATTAATGGCAATTGTATTCTAAAACATCCATTGTAAATTGGGGCCCTGGGACATTTGAAGAGGACCACAGACTGGAAACAATTCTTCACACACCACCTTAAAAAGTTTGTCATGTGACTTATACAATCCTGATATTTTTTTTCATATTATGGCTGTGGCCAAAAACAGGTTGAAAATGGCTTGTCTAAAACATTTAGAACACATCTGGTTGGAGAAGGCTATCCGTAAGACTGTAGGGCAGATATACAGTGGACCTTCGACTTACAGACAGCTCGACTTACAGACTTTTTGAGTTACAGACTTCTCTGGCCACAAAATTTAGGTTCGACTTGCAGCCGGAGAATCGACCTACAGACCAGAAAATAACAAAAACGGAACAAAAACGAAACAAAAACGGCTGGTTACAGATTAATCGGTTTTCAATGCATTGTAGGTCAACGGAGCCTCGACCCACAGCCACTGTTCCAATACGGATTAATTCCGTAAGTAGAGGGTCCACTGTAGGTAGAATTCAGGACACAGTCTGTTTTTTGCTAGAACTGCGAGATCTCAGTTCTGATCCCAGAACTAAACTAAAGTCACTATGTATTCACGAAGGCTTTCATGGCCGGGATCTAATGGTTGTTGAGGGTTTTTTGGGATCTTTGGCCGTGTTCTGAAGGTTGTTCTTCCTGTCACTATCTTTCCATACAATAATCAATTCCTAGTGCTTGTTGTCATTCCAATCTATGCTTTCTTAGCAATACCATTGGAGTGACAGGCAGTTTGTTCTGTTATTACTATTGTCAGATAGAAGTCAAAAATTCTTGTCGATCTACTCCTAATAAACGAGAGACATAACTACAGATCCTGATCTACTTTCTACCCAGCTCTGTCACAGGAAAAGAACACAAATATTCAAAAGAATAAGGAGAAACAGTCTGTTCCCTACTGTATTCTTGCCTTATAGAACCGGGTACAGTATGTAGCCCATGGACCACAGGCAGTCCCTCATGGGCCTAAATTTGGGCCTCAGCACCTTTGGGCCTCCATAGCAGCCTCACACCTCAAAACAATTTTTAAGAAAAGCTTTTGGAAAATTATGTTGTTGTGCTCAATAACTGTGATAATCAGAGGGCACAGTGCTGGCCATTACCTATAAAGCCATGTACTGCTTAGGTCCATGCTACCTGAAGGACTGTATCACCCTATATAAGCCTTCTCAATGCTTAAGATTATCAGAGGAGGCCCTCTTCTTGGTCCTATTGCTGGTGCGGGTACAGTTGAGGAGGCCACGAGAGAGAACCTCCTCTGTGGCTACTCCCAGGTTATGGAATGTTCTCCCTCAGGTCAGGTTGGCCCCCTTCCTTTTATCCTTCCACCAGCTACTCACCTTTTCAGGCAGGCTTTAATAATCATGACAGCGTCCGTAAATGTCATTTTTAAAAATAGCTTTTAACGTTTTACATTTTTAAAATTATTCAATATATTTTAATTGGTTCTTAATGTATAACTTATTGTATTTTGAATTCTATTCTTTTTAATACTGTGAGCCACCCTGAGTCCCCTTACTGGGAGAAAGGCAGCCTATAAACAAACAAATAAGCAAGCACGCAAACAAAAGAAAGAGAAAGAAAGAAAGAAAGAAAGAAAGAAAGAAAGAAAGAAAGAAAGAAAGAAAGAAAGAAAGAACTGTGCCTTATTTTGAGCGATCTGAGCACCGCTGTGGCCACCCACCTTTACAGGCACTGCTGTGGCCACCCCATCCACTCCAAATTATTGTTTACATTTTTTTTGGTCTCTGAAGGACTTTTCCAGTAATTCCTACAAAAGCTGCGTAGGGCATGTGAGTCAAGGAAACTGTTGTGGTGCTTTAAGGTTCGGAGATATTTGGAGGTTGCCCATCCCCTCCTTAGAGAGAGTTTTGGAAAACAATTATTTCCCTGCGAACTATCTTACTTAAAAGACAAAGCCACTGTGGTTTGTAGAGGTACCATAGAAAACTATAGCTGGAAAAGGCGGAGATGAATGAAGCTTACTTCTATTAACTGCTGTGTTATACTTCTCAAACAGCAAAATTCACAACATGGACATAGAGAGGCATGGCAAGATCGCCAAGCCTAAATTTTGTTACCGAGACTGTTTCGTGAGGAACAGGGTTTCAAGACAAGCGTTTTAAATCTCCACAAACCCAAATTTCCATGCTTTCTTGCCCAGTAAAATGAATTGTTTTTCTTGGACTTTAGGGGGTAGTTTATGATCCATAAATTATATGCAGAACCCAGCAGGGAGAAAAAGACAAAGACAAGGCTCTTTCAATTATTAATAGCTAAATGCAGTGCCATTCATGACGGTGCAGCAAGCCAGCTGCATTCACTCCCTGACGGTGTCACCACTGCAGGGGTTGTCATTAAACCATGCCAAATGTTTAAGAGAAGAAGTCATCCATATTCAAAACAATTGTATGGTGGATTTATAACCAGCTCCTTCAAATCACTCACTGAAGAGGAAACAAGTGCTGCCTTTGAAGTGGCAGATTTCTGAAAGCTAAAGCTTTACATTTTGAAGATTGAGGGTCAAAATTGCCACAATTTAAGAAAGATGCCTGATTATTATTATTATTTTATTTCTCTTGAGCTCCGCCATATCACAGGAGTGCCATATCACTAGAGTGATACCACTCAGCTCAAGAGCATGTGCTGCTGAGCCCTTCCATGACACCAGCAAGAACAGGAAAGGCACAGAGCACAACTGGTGGGAAGTTACACAGCATGGGAGCCTCTTTATGAACAAATGAGGCATAACAAGTGTTACAAACTAATCTGCATATTTTTATTTTACAAAACATGTTTGGGTAGATTTTTTTTTCCAAGCCAGGTTGTCTCTGAAATCCCAAATTGTATTCTCTTCTAAACAGAGAACAGATTTGTGAACAGAGGATTTTAAATAGAGAATATTAAACATAATGTAGGAAACATTCTGTTCGTTTATTACAAAAAAAGAACAGCAAATGCAGAGACAAGCACAGATCCAAGCAAACTCAGAGAGGAGTGAGCAGCAGGAAGCCAGTTTCCCTTCTGTTGAAATTGCAGGGTCCACTGT